TCTCAGCCTCCCAAAGCGCTGGGATTACAGACATGAGCCACTGCGCCTGGTCTCTAGTTTGTTTCTTTTGTGAAGACCTCTGGGGCTTGCCTTTGGGAAGATCCTCTGAGTTTAATTTAGATATGCTCTTATGTTTAGGCCCAATTGTCTTAGGTATATACATACTGAGGAGTGGAATTACTGGATCATATGGTAATTCTATGCCTAATTTTTTTTTTTTTTTGAGACGGAGTTTCGCTCTTGTTGCCCAGGCTGGAGTGCAATGGCGCGATGTTGGCTCACCGCAACCCCCGCCTCCCGGGTTTAAGTGATTCTCCTACCTCAGCCTCCTGAGTAGCTGGGATTACAGGCATGTACCATCACACCCAGATAATTTTGTATTTTTAGTAGAGACGGGGTTTCTGCTTGTTAGTTAGGCTGGTCTCGAACTCCTGACCTCAGGTGATCCACCTGCCTCTGCCTCCCAAAGAGCTGGGATTACAGGCATGAGCCACCATGCCTGGCCTATGTTTAACTTTTGGAGGAACTCCCAAACTCTTCCAAAGCAGCTGCAGCACTAATTTCTACCGGTCATACATTAGAGTTCCAGTTTTTCCTTGTCCTCATCGGTATTTTCATTGTCCATCTGTCTTGATTGCAGCCATCCTCGTGGATATGACGTTGTGTCTCACTGTGGTTTTGATACATATTTCCTTAGTGACTGATGATGCTGGGCAGTGCTTCATGTGCTTATTGGGCATTTGTATATATTCTTTGGAGAAATGTCTGTTTACATCCTTTGCCCATTTTTAAATTGGATTGTCTTTTTATTGTTGAGTTGTACTAGTTCTTTTTTTTTTATTAGTTGTACTTTAGGTTCTGGGGTACATGTGCAGATCATGCAGGATTGTTGCATAGGTACATACATGGCAAGGTGGTTTGCTGCCTTCATCCCCCCATCACCTATATCTGGTGTTTCTCCCCTGATTATCCCTCCCCACCCTCCCCAACTGACCGCAGTGTATGATGCTCCCCTCCCTGTGTCCACGTCTTCTAATTGTTCAACACCTGCCTATGAGTGATAACATATGGTGTTTGGTTTTCTGTTCTTGTGTCAGTTTGCTGAGAATGATGGTTTCCAGATTCATCCATGTCCCTACAAAGGACACAAACTCATCTTTTTTATGGCTACATAGTATTCCATGGTGTATATGTGCCACATTTTCCTTGTCCAGTCTATCATCAGTGGGCATTTGGGTTGGTTCCAGGTCTTTGCTATTGTAAGCAGTGCCACAATGAACATACGTTTGCATGTGTTTTTATAATAGAATGATTTATAATCCTTTGGGTATATACCCCGTAATGAGATTGCTGGGTCAAATGGAATTTCTATTTCTAGATCCTTGAGGAATCGCCACACTGTCCTCCATAATGGTTGAACTAATTTACACTCCCACCAACAGTGTAAAAGTGTTCCTATTTCTCCACATCCTCTCCAGCGTCTGTTGTCTCTGGATTTTTTAACGATCGCCATTCTAAGTGGTGTGAGATGGTATCTCAATGTGGTTTTGATTTGCATTTCTCTAATGAACAGTGATGATGAGCATTTTTTCATGTTTGTGGGCCTCATCAATATCTTCTTTTGTAAAGTGTCTGTTCATATCCTTCATCCACTTTTGAATGGGTTTGTTTTTTCCTTGTAAATCTGTTTTAGTTCTTTGTAGATTCTGGATATTAGCCTAGTTCTTTTATAGTTCTTATATGATTTGCCAATATTTTCTTCTATTTTATGTGTTGTCTTTTCATTTTCTTGATATCTTTTGAAGCACAAAAAATTTTTGATGAAGTCCAGTTTCTCTGTTTCTTCTTTTGTTGCTTGTACTTTTGGTGTCTTATCTAAGAAACCATTGATTGATCAAAAGTCATGACAATTTATGCCTGTGTTTTTTTCTCTGAATTTTATAGTTTTAGTTCTTAGAATGAGGTCTTTGATCCAGTTTGAGTTAATTTTTGTACATGGTCTGCATGGTGTGAGGAAGAAGTTTATTGTCATTCTTTTTTTTTTTTTTTTTTTTTTTTTTTTTTTTTTTTTTTTGTTTTTGGTCTGCATGGTGTGAGGAAGAAGTTTATTGTCATTCTTTTTTTTTTTTTTTTGATATAGAGTCTTGCTCTGTCACCCAGGCTGGAGTGCAGTGGCGCAATGTCGGCTCACCGCAACTTCCGCTTCCCGGGTCCAAGTGATTCTCCTGCCTCAGCCTCCCGAGTAGCTAGGATTACAGGTGCCTGCCACCACGCCCAGCTAATTTCTTGTATTTTTAGTAGAGATGGGGTTTTACTACGTTGGCCAGGCTGGTCTCAAACTCCTGACCTCGGGCAATCTGCCTGCTGTGGCTTCCCAAAGTGCCGGGATTGTAGGCATGAACCACCATGCCCAGCCTATCTTCGTTCTTTTCGCACATGGTTATCTAGTTGGACAGGTACCATTTGTTGAAAAGGCTATTATTTCCTTATTGAATTGTCTTGGCACCCTTGTCCAAGTTCATGGACCAGTTGTCCATGAATGTGTGTTTATTTCTTTACTCTCAGTTCTATTCTGTTAGTCTATATGTGTTAGTCTATTTTCACACTGGTATTAGGAACTGCTCATAAAGAAAACTTATAAAGGAAAGAGGTTTAATTGATTCACAGTTCTTAATGGCTGGAGAAGCCTCAGGAAACTTACAGTCATGGTGGAAGGCAAAGGCATGTCTTACATGGTGGCAGGTGAGAGACAGAGAGAGAGGAAACTACCACTTGATTGACTGACTGATTGATTGAGACAGAATCTTGCTCTGTCACCCAGACTGGAGTGTAGTGGCACAATCTTGGCTCACTGCAACCTCTACCTCCTGGGTTCAAGCAATTCTTCTGCCTTAGCCTCCTGAGTAGCTGGGATTACAGGCATCTACCACCACGCCTGGCCAATTTTTGTATTGTTAGTAGAGATTGTGTCACCATGTTGCCCAGGCTGGTCGTAAACTCCTGATTTCAGGTGGTTCGCCTGCCTCGGCCTCCCAAAGTGCTGGGATTACCGGCGTGAACCATTGCACCCAGCCCAAACACTTTAAAAGTGTCAGATCTCATGAGAACTCATTCACTATCATGAGAACAGCATGGGGGAAACTGCCCCCATGATCTAGTCACCACCCACCAGGTACCTCCCTTGACACATGGGGATTACAATTCCAGATGAGATTTGGGTGGGGACACAGCCAAACCATATCACTATATGTCTATGCTTACACCAGTTGGACGTTGACTTTTGGAGGCCAAGTTGTCTGGATGAGCAAGGACCCTGGGGGAAGAAGTGGCTTGTCGTGCAGGAATCCCCTTGGCTGTGGAAGGTTCAGGATTTATCCCAGCACTTGGCCTGGAACTTCACTATTACCTAGTCAGTTCTTCTAGACTTTTAAGGTAGTACTTTATTCATTTTTTTATCCAGCATTTTAAAAATAGTCTTTAGGAGGTGTTCTAAAACCCTAGCCACCATCATATAAAATGGAATTCAAGCCAAGTGTGGTGGCCTGAGCCTGTCGTCCCAGCTACTTGGGAGGCTGAGGTGGAGAAACTGCTCAAGGCCAGGAGTTTGAGACCAGCCTGGGTGATATAGCGAGTATTCATCTCAATAAATACATACAAATAAATAAAAATGGAATTCAAAATTATTTATCTATAATTATGACATTTGGGTAGTATGTCCCTGAGAAGATATCTTTAGGAAGTAGAGGACTCATTCGTGGCGTCTTAGAAAAAGACTGCCCTGGTCACTGCTGCTTTTAAAGCCACGTTTGTGAGAGCTAATAAAAGCAGCTTTCAGTAATTGAGTACTTTATTCTGGTAGATGTAACTTTTACTGGGGACCTTAGGTATACTCTTTAATCTCATTAACACAACCAAGCTTTAAATTGTATTTATTAATATTAATATTGCCCATATTCTCGTTTTACAAATGAGGATGCTGCGAGGGTCAGAAGCTTGCCCGAGGACAGACAGTGATGATTAGTTGCCTTTGACTTGGGCTCAGACCCCTGACTGCAGCACTGGGCTCTTCACCTCGTAGGTTCTCTTCTCCATGGGAACCCTCAGAGAGAGCATGAGTGTTTGAGGTCTGGGTGTCACGTCTTCTGTAGTAAGAGCTGGAAGGCTTAGCAGGCTGTTTGCCTGCTCTGTTTTTCCCTGTCCCTCTTGTGGTGGGAACGTGAACTTCCTTACAGGCGGGAACTGGAGAGTCTTTTCGGATGGTTCTCACAGTTCCTTGAGTGCAGGAACTACAGGGGAAGCAGTTTTTAACATTCTGATTCCTGGACTTCGTTTCAGAGTCCAGTGCAGCAGGTAGGGAGGGAGTTGTGCTTGGGACTCTGAAGGTCTGATGCGCTCCCTGGGAGATCTGTTGCACCTGGTCTTGGATTATACGTTGAGAAAAGCGGGTCCACAGGTTACATTTAAAGTCCTTGGGTATTGTGGACTTGTTCTCTCTTCTCTGTTTTTAAAGGGCTACACAGTGTTTTTCCAGTGTCTGGGGAATGTCCCTTTACCTTTTAGTTCCTTAAAAAAGTGGAGACCAGTACTTTTAAATGAGAGTTATATTTAGTGTTTTATAAGCACTGTTGCCAGGTAGAGATGAGCATGTTTGATTCAGAACAACTCTGCTATTAATAAAATGCAATATCTAGTAATTTGTTATTAATGACTGTAATTTAGTGGTCAGAGACTCAAGGGGAAAATAAAGTATCTGGTTATTTTAGAGAAGAAAAATCTCAACCTGTCTTTTCCTGCCTCCTCCCTCTTCTGCTTTTTCTCAGATTGTCAAGTGGTCCGACTGTTGTTTGCCATTAGCTTGCAGACCTGGGGATCCTTATCGGTTAATTGCGGAAGCAAGTGTGGACAACTTCAGCAAGCTGGGGGTGGCGTTCATGGAAGATAGACTCCAGATGGATAATGGCCTGGTACCCCAAAAGATTGTATGTAAGTAACTTTAGAAAATGTTTTCATTGGCCAGGCATAGTGGCTCATGCCTATAATCCCAGCACTTTGGAAGGCCGAGGCAAGAGGATCACTTGGAGCCCAAGAGTTCAAGACCAGCCTGGGCAACATCGACCCCCATCTCTGAAAAAAGCAAAAAAAAAAAAAGAAATCGGCTGGATGTGGTGGTGCACGCCTGAGGTCCCAGCTACTTGGGAGGCTGAGGTGGGAGGATCACTTGAGCCAGGGAGGTTGAGGCTACAGTGAGCCATGATCACACCACTGCATTCCAGTCTGGGTGACAAAGTGAGACCTTGTCTCAAAGAAATAAAATAAAATAAGAAAAGATTTTATCATAGTGGGACACTCTAGGTTATTAGCTTAAGGACTGCTGACTACTCTTACTGGTATGACATAAGGGCTACGTTTGATTTTACTATAACAATATGCAATTCATGCACGTGTCAAGTGTATTTTTTTTTGCGGGGGGTGGCAGGGTACATTTTTGTGCTTATTAAATTTCTTTTTTTTTTTTTGAGATGGAGTTTTGCTCTTGTTGTCCAGGCTGGAGTGCAATGGTGTGATCTCAGCTCACTGCAACCTCTGCTTCCTGGGTTCAAGCAATTGTCCTGCCGCAGCCTCCCGAGTAGCTGGGATTACAGGCATATGCCACCATACCTGGCTAATTTTGTATTTTTAGTAGAGATGTGGTTTCTCCATGTTGGTCAGGCTGGTCTCAAACTCCTGACCTCAGGTGACCTGCTCTCCTTGGCTTCCCAAAGTGCCGGGATTATAGGCATGAGCCACCATGCCCGGCCTATTAAATTTCTTAAACAAGAATGTTTCATAACGGCATTGCTCATGAGGCATTCATATTCAGAGCCCATCTGGTATTTATGTCATACAGTTTAATACAGAATAGCTGGTGTCTAGACTCTAGTTCGGATTGAGTGGGAAGCATAGCTAGAGCTACTATGAAGTGCTAAATCAAACAGCTTTTTACTTAAAATTTGTGTACCACAATTTTTTGGGACAAACTGCTTTTCAGGAAACATGCAAACTCTTCTTCCTTGATTAGACTTAGAAACAGGCTTTTTATGTCTATGAAATATGTCTTCTTTCGTCTCATGGGCAAATAAATGTCCCTTATCAGCTCTGGAAGTTTAGGTAAATCCCTTAATATCCAGAATCACCTCGTACATGTCTCTAATACCATGTCTGACACATAGCAAGTGCTCAATAAACGTTTTTGAATCAGCGATTGTCAACTTATGTTCCAGTACTGATACAAGATACTGGGAAGAGTCTTCTCCCACTGATCCTATGATGTGTCCTGAGACTGACCTTTCACTGGGGCATGCTGGGGTAGACTCTAGATATATGTCCTTTTTATTGCTCAGTTCCATTATCGTAAAGGAGAATAACACCCAAGAAATAGAATCTGTAAGTAAGGAGGCAAAGGCACCTCTCTGAATCTCACTTTCTTCACCATTCAGTAGGAGGATCTTAGGTTCTCTGATAGGTGTAAAAGATGTTGGGCAAACTGCTGATTTCACTTGGGGTCTTCAGGCAGGAACAATTAGTGTTTCCAAAGGTTGTCCCTGGGTTGAGGCACAATGCAGGTGGGAGCCGGGACAGTGGCTGTCCTGGAATGTAAGTCCCAGAATGCAGAGAGGGTGATGAGATTCTTGAGATGAGCTATGTGTCACACAAGAAATGCTGATAATTCTCTCTCTCGCCTGTTCCTGCCTTAGCGGTGCACTTGCAGGACTCCACCCTGAAGGAGGTGAAGGATCAGGCCTCAAACAAGCAAGAACTGAAGCCTGAATCTTCTCTTGAGATTAAGCCTGAGCAGGAAGGTATGGAGCATGTCAGCAAAGATGATCCGAAGGCTCTTGGTGAAGAGCCCAAACAGAGGAGAGGCAGTGCCTCTGGGAGTGAGCCTGCTGGGGACAGTGACAGGGGAGGGGGCCCCATCGAGCATTATCACCTCCATCTGTCCAGTTGCCATGAGTGTCTGGAACTTGAGAACAGCACCATTGAGTCAGTCAAGTTTGCATCTGCGGAGAACATTCCAGACCTTCCCTATGATTATAGCAGCAGTTTGGAGAGTGTTGCTGATGAGACTGGCCCTGAAAGAGAGGGAAGGAGAGTCAACCTCACGGGAAAGGCACCCAACATCCTCCTCTATGTGGGCTCTGACTCCCAGGAAGCCCTTGGCCGCTTCCAGGAGGTCCAGTCCGTGCTGGCCGACTGTGTGGACGTTGACAGTTACATTCTCTACCACCTGCTGGAGGAAAGCGCCCTCAAAGACCCGTGGATGGACAACTGTCTGCTATTGGTCATTGCTACCAGGGAGTCCATTCCCGAAGTCCTATACCAGAAGTTCATGGCCTATCTGTCTCAGGGAGGGAAGGTGCTGGGCCTGTCTTCGTCCTTCACCTTTGGTGGCTTTCAGGTGACAAGCAAGGGTGTGCTGCGGAAGACGGTTCAGAACCTGGTTTTCTCCAAGGCTGACCAGAGCGAGGTGAAGCTCAGCGTCTTGAGCAGTGGCTGCAGGTACCAGGAAGGCCCCGGAGAGCGGCTCAGCCCCGGCAGGCTCCAGGGCCACCTGGAGAACGAGGACAAGGACAGGATGATTGTGCATGTGCCTTTCGGAACTCATGGGGGAGAAGCTGTTCTTTGCCAGGTACTCAGGGCAGCGTGGATTTGGTGATCTTTGGGTATCTGTGGGTATGTTTGAGAGGGAATATGCCTTTTAAAGCTACATGCTTAAAAGTTTCAGGAGTTTGTGTGCTGCAGGCCTTTTTTGACTGTTGGCTGGGAGCTTTTGCTGATAGTGAGCAGGTTTAGTTTAGTTCGGGACTTTCTTGAATACCCTGATTAACCAAAAGACTTGTGAGGTAGGAACAAGGTAGGTGTCAGGGATAAATGAGCTTGCTGGTTAACTGGGGCTTAGTCAGAAAATTCTTGTTTGGTTCTTTACTAGTAATGATCTTTCTTAACTACATCAGTCTGCTTTCTTGCTGCAGAGTACCCCTTGGTTAATATAATTGAGCCTTTATTTAACGTAGGAAGTTAAAACCATCAGGGTCATGATTCTAGATGTCAGTGACTACCACGATGAAACACTACAGTTGATTGGCAAGGTAGTTTATGTTAAAACATCTTCAGGTTCCCAATGTCTTTCTTATGTTTTGCCGCTCTTCCAAGTGCTGAAGAAAATTCAGACAAGAGAATATTGATCCCAGCTACTCAGGAGGCTAAGGCAGGAGAATTGCTTGAACTTGGGAGATGGAGGTTGCAGTGAGCCAAGACTGTGCCCTGCTCTCCAGCCTGGGCAACAGAGTGAGACTCCATCTCAAAAAAAA